GTTTCTTTGCGGGGATTACGCATAAGAAATTGCTGCGAGAAAATATTCTGACAGGCATTTGGAGATACCTCATGCACCTATAATGGGCCACGCGGTAGGCGTGCTGGATTAACACGGAGGCTAGAACAGGGCACGGCAAGCCTTAATGAGGATGCGCACCTATAAGAACTGCAAAACCTGGGGGTGTAAGGGGCACGCCTAGGTGCCAACTCGCGCCAAGCCAGCCACCCAGCTGCGTCCGATCTCACCTTAGCTCCCCCTAATTCTGTCTTGACACCGAGTCCATGTGGGCAGGGGGAAGCGAGTGCGTTAGATGCTCCGCGGGCGTAACGAATTCCTGTGTCAGTCACCATCTTTGCGCCCACAATGATGTGCGGCACACGGCGGACATGGTCGTAGTCGACGGCTGAACTACTTGTTTGTGCATGCGTGCCCCTAAAACAAGCCACGCGTTAAATGCGCTGGAACGACCAGGGATCCAGATCAGTACGTGGCAGGCGTTATTGGAGATGTGCACCCCTAAAGAACGTCTAAAGCGAGATTTAAGTTGTGATGGCACACCTAGGCACACGCTCACGCGGCCCTAGCCACCTGCGCCTGATCCCGCTTCTGGTCTGCATAGCTCTGTCTTGACACTATGTCCAGACAGTTGAGGAGGGAAAGAGCTCAGTAGATGCTGCGTAAGTCTTTCGGCACTATAAATGCATCCACTTGCAAGTGACCGTCCCTCTGCCCACTCTTCTCTGTGAAGCATTCGTGAAAATCGTTGGAAGTAACGGTCGAACTGTGACCTGTTGCACTTTTAAGGCGAGCTGGGGGCAATCCTACTGGATTTGACAACCTCGTCGAAAAAGCCACAGGTAGAAAGCATCTGATCCTTAAAAATAGCCGCCTATGCTTTCACGCTAATCATCTTCTTTACTCGCACAGACACTTATGGCTTGTTGTTCACTTTGAGAATGACTTGATTAATCGAGTTTCCATACTCCCGAGCCTCTATTGTACTAATGACGTTATGGCACCACTACCTCACTTGGAAATACATAGTACCACACATAAAAAAGCGCTGCAAGGTAAAGCGGACTTCTGTGTTGCATACGTTTCATGGTTATTTCGTTATCTTGTATTTAAACACCTATTTAACGCAATTGACCCAATTGGGAAAAATTCACGGCCTCGGCGGGAGTCAAATCCACACAACAGCGAAGGCTTTTGTGCAGCTAACCTATTTAACGCATACTCGGCTTTTTGGGTTTTGGTTTGGTCCAAGTCGCAGTAGACTTCAATGGTGGTATGGTGGGAGGAGGGGGGACATTTCATGGTGAAGGGCAGTTTTTCTCTGGCGTGCATCACGCAAACTAGCCTTTCTGCTCATCTTTGCAACTAAGCGCGACTGGGTATTAGTGGCCAGTTTTTGCTCATCTCCAAAGACGGGTACAGGGGACTAGCCATTACTGGATGTTTTGCCGTTATCAGAAACTGAAGCTCCAGCTTCGTTCATAACGAAACTTCTCAGTGTCGGCGTCGGCCTTTTAAGAGATCAGAGGACGTGTGGTTCATGTG